GATTTGCGATGTGTATCGCTGGTATTCTCGCATAAACGCACGACGCTCCGCCTTCGTCGATCCCTTGAACGAGGGCGGCAGCGGCAAAGCCGGTGCGTTCAGCACTTTCACGGGCTCATCTTCGCCCATATCCACGTCACCAGGTGCACTCGCACCCGCAGATGTTGCGTCAGGCAGCGGCACTTCCGCCGCAGCTCGCGTTGGTACAGCCGATGGCGCCCAACTTGACGTCATCCCCACTCCACCTTGGACACCAAACCCCATCCGATCACGGGTTGGGGTTGGTTTCTTCGAGAAGAGGTGAAAGGCCCACGGAAACGTCCGTGACCTTCGCGCCCTCGTGGCGCCATACGCACTGTGTCGTCGTCGCGCTCCGGCGATCTAGACATGCGGCTTGACGGCTCCACTTCCGTATCTCTCATTGCTTCAGATCGATACGTGCTCTAAAGAATTCTTTGTTCCGCACCCCGCACTGTCGACGTCCGTCGACCAGCACAGCAACCACAACGGTGGTTAGACTCACAATGCAAACTGACTGGTATTAACCTTTATACTAACCAGTTCTCGACCTTCCATGTAGGTGCGGTTTGCCCTCGCGACATAACACTGTTGAAGACGCAATATTGGGTATTTTATGTTAGTTATTTCTGGTTTGTCCCAAAAATAAACGGACCGTTTGGAGGTGCGGTGGAGATGCTCTAATGGGGGCATTCTGAGATACCTTACAAGAGCCAATCAGGATGCCTGAACTATGGATTTATTGCACAAATATGCAGAGGTGGGATTTTAAATTATACAGTAGCACCAGCAGCGCATGTCAGCTAGAGGTTAAGGCATCCCAGTGGTTAGCGATAGCTACCCGCTGTGATGCGCTTAACCCCGGGGATAACATTATACTTCGAAATATCTGTGCCCACCGGGGGTAGGACGAAGTCCCAGGTTATATGGGTCTTTTTTATATGTGTGCGGAGTCTTAACGTAGAATGCCAGTTTATGACATCCACTTTTTCTTTTTCTTTGAAAAATGCAAATATCTCAGGACGCAAGCATCGGATTTGCACCTGGAGTGGTTCTCGACATCGAGAATTTGTGCCCCAACAGTCTCATCAACGAATTATGCGTTTTAACGACGTGTTTTGGGTGCTTAACTTCAACTTTGCAAGCAAAATTGATCTTCTTTTGGCGTGCCACTTTAAGTCGTAAGAGTTTCACTTGATATTTGTATTACAGATTGCATAGAAATTTGGTGGTTAGGTTATAAAATCTGCACAGGTTTGAGAAAGAATTCGAGGGGTTATTCGCTTGTCCAGTATTTTGTGTTTTTGGCCAAACCTCATTTCATTTTGAGATCGAGGACGACAATGACAAGTCAAAGCCCACAGCTGCACCATACTGGTATGACATACATCTATCCAAGTGAGATGTATTACACGCATGCTTCAACTAGGACAACAGGCGGACGGCTTGGTTTATCCATCATCGCGGCAACCGTCGTCTTCGCGCCGGCCTTCGTCTTCGTGCCGGCCTTCGCCTTCGCGCCGTTCTTCGTCTTTACAGCGGCCATCGTCTTCGCGCCGGGCATCGGTTCCGGGGTCAAGGTCGCCGACAAGATCGTCTCACTGTCGCTGGCAAGGTCGACACCGTCAACAGAGGTAACACAAATTGCCTTCTTCGCCTTCTTTTTTGCCCGTTTGGCTCGTAACAACTTCGTAGCTTTTGCAGCCTCGGCCCGTTCCATCTTGGTGTTGTCGATCTCCAGCAAGAGCGCCAAGGTGAGAATACGACCCGCGACATCAATTCGTTTTCTTCTAGCGCGTTTTTTAGGCGCCACAGGCAGCACCAGCAGCTCTTCTCGAATCGTCACTCGCTGCACCAACCATTCCGCTGCGATGTGCGACTCGGGGGCGCCGCCGTCTTTGAACATGTCATAACGGCGCTTCATTTGCTCGTGCGATAGAGGTAAGAGGCCGGCGGTGCGGAAACCGCTGACGAGGTTTGTAGCCGACATCTGGCTAGTCCAAGCATCTGAGGCAATCGAGATCGCATTGACTTTGGAGATCGAGTGCATGTCCCCGGACCCTACATAAATCGTGAATCTGATCCATTATTTAATCGATAATTTGTTTACCATCGTTGACCATGACATCAAAAATTGCTCGCCGAATAGCACTTTTAAAAGGCCCGAAAACGGCAACGTCAAATGGTTGGAATAAATGTGTAGCATTTGATGGCAAACAAAGCAAATCAACATCCAATTGGGCGGACAATGTTACAATCTCAGTAGAATAGTGCGAAGCTAAACCATCAAACACCAACAGAAGTGGACGCTCAATATTTTCATCCACAGTTTTTGCGAAATATCTCAACCAAGTTTCAAACAAATCTTCATTCATAAATCCTTTTGGGGTCGTCGTAACAGTAGCGCCAGGGACAGTGCAGTGCGAGCCAATATCCTTGTCGATCGACTCACCGGGCAGCAGAAAGAGGGGAGGGATGAAGGTACCAGCAGCATTGCCACATGCAACGATACTCAGGTGAAAGTTCGCCGCAATCGTTTTCGCCCAGACATTGCGCGAGCCCTTGAGCGCCACAACATCCTTGGACTTCCGACGGGAAGCAAAGGACGTTTCGTCCATGTTGAAGATGCGGTCCGCCGTAAAGCCGTAGGTCTCGATCGCCTCCTCCATTGAGTCGAACAACTGCTTCACCCCGTCTTCGTCAACGCTGTTCCTCGCGGACGAAATGACTTGGGCGACGCGGTTTGTGAGCGAGGGGTGGCGCTGCATGAATCGGCGGTACCAACCACCGGACAACTTGCTGCGTGACGAGATGCGGCGCAGAATCTGCGATGCCTTGACAAGAATCTCATGGCGGTCCACAGGCTGACCAACTTGCTGCATTCCAGAGATCCAGGCAACCAGGTCTTCTTCACAGGATGCTGGCAACATGGGCTTGGTTCCACGACGACTACTCCCGCTGTCTTGGCCGGCTCTTCGCTGTCGGGCCTTGCGCATTAACGTCTCGTAGGGTATACCTGTGCTTGCGGCGACCTTGGCGCCAACCTTGCCTTGGATCACGTCATTCACTGCTTGCTCAAGCAGCTTGGCTGGGTAGCGAGACCTCGTACGAGGCGCTGGCATTGTTGGCGCGAAAGACTTAATGACTCTGTATGAGAGTATTGGCTTTAACAGGTTTTGCCGCGAATTGAAATCGTTCAGTGATTGGGCGATTTCGATACGACTTAAAGTGGCACATACGCCTTAAAGTGGCATTCTACGTTATCTATGGAATTCCCCCACTAAAGATACAGTTTGGGTGTTTTGAAGGTAGGGTACTGTATATTTCGGCAAATTAATGATTCACATTTCGATCGAAACAGGTGGTACAGTAAAAATTTCGTCGATTCGTGATTGAATTTGGCGGCGAGATTCGATCTGGAAATTTGTACCGAATGCACAATACAGTACAATATTGTGAATTCGCTATAAACGTCCAAAGTTCGCGTGGTTTGTAATATTAAATCAGGCTGGAGTTCTGATTTGTTGAATATACTGTACTTGTCCTTTTCCTTTCTGTAAGAGCCAATCATATCCACTCAAAATTGGATTATCCAATCGGGTGGATTCGTGATTCCATTCGGCGGCGAGATTCGATTCGACGGGGTCCAGAAATACCGAATCCACAATACTACACCATTTTTCGCTTAAGTTCAGGATATTTTCGGTATATTTCGTCTGACGCACAACCTATTCACCCCACTCGCGTTATGTTCGAACATTCGATATATTTCGTCCAGACCCTCATTGTTGCAGTATATTTCGACTAATGTCCGGTATATGTGCGGTACTTACTACGTAGTTGTATATTTCACGCGTTGTTCAATACATTTCAAATGATGTTCCATCTATTTCGATTTTCGAAGCAAATGAAGTAAATAGCAGGTGGTGGTGGATACTTGTCTAAATCATAGATATTGTGCTTTCGAGCTAAATTTGGTATTTTCGGTAGATTCGGCGAACAACGTCAAATCCACCTGAAATCGTCGAGCGTCATTTTACTTGAACTAAATATACTCATTATGACTCCTGTCCAATACAACTTTGAACTCTTTGTGAAATGGAGAAGCTTGGCAATGCACCGGATACGCCTGTAATTTGATTGATCGAAAATTTCATTTGGCTAGTTCGTTCCGTCGATTACTGCGTCAATTTATCGAAATAGTTGGAACATCATTTGAAATATATTGAACAATGTGTGAAATATACCAGCTGTGGGGTGACTGTAATATACCGGACATAGTCGAAATATAATGCAACGAAGTAGGGTCTGGACGAAATATGTCGAATGTTTGGCGAACACAACGACATGGCGTGAATCAGTTGTGCGTCGGACGAAATATACCGTGAATAACCTGTACTTAAACGAAAAATGGTGTAGATCCGTCGTCACTACGTACTAGGTGTTAATTAGGGCCTGTTCCAAGTAGATATTTTCAACAAAATGAAAAAATGATTTCAAGTACAGTTTCCAACTTTTTACCTCTTTTTGTGCGATTTTTTTCGCAACTCACTATACCAAAAGTAGTAGAAAAAGAAGTCCTTGACGTCTTTTTCTTAATCGTGAAAAAAAGAAAGAGGTAAATCGATTTTGATTGGCTCTTGCTCTGAAAACTACTTGGAACTTCCCCTTACTTGCTAACTGTATGCCAGGGGCCCAGCGCCTCCATTCTTGTCGAGGTCATGTCTGTAAGCTTCTAACTAATACAGAACTGCATACCTTCCCCCTAACGCTACTTCCCCCCACTTGAGCATACCAGTGACAAACTGTAATTGGTGTCCGAATTCTAGTGCTTTAAAAGCACTGGCAATGAGTACATTTGTTGTTCAATCAGTACCAGGCCACGCCTTGTGATCGTACATTTCGACTGTATCTTAACCTCACTAACTTCCCCCCTCTCCTCAATACGATGCACTATTCCATAAGCAACCAAACGAATCATACATGAATTTGCTTCTACTTGGGGTCGTTACACGATGGTTTCGCAGCCAAGTGAAAGAAGCTCGTGATAGGTTTTGTATAGTCTGGTTGTGTTTTGGCTCGGACTTTGCGTGCTGAGGCAGCGCCCCGTTCGTTTCTGGCGCGCACTTTGGACGCTTCTTTTGTCACAAGAGCCAACACCTTTTTCATGCCCGTGGTTATCCCCACCTACAACACACATATTCATCTATTGTCAATTCAAATGAACTTTGACAAATGTCCTATCCAATTAAAGGGCTCTAACCAGAAATTTCAACCAATCATCGACCCACCTCATTTCACCAGTTTTGCCCAGTCAAATAAATATATACTACGTAGTACACATCACCCATTGAATTTGTACCCCATACATGGAATAAGCTAAACATCACGACTATTTATCCAACCAATATTGTACATCATCGCAGGTTTTACCTCGGCCATGTCGTCGCATGTCATCCAGCGCATGGTCGAAGACTCGACGGGTACCGAGGCCCCGTCGGGCAGCGCAACTTGGACCTCCTCCACTCCCATGTGATGCTTCACATGGGAGAACACGTGCACGAGCTCCCCAAGGTCTTGGCGGTGAACGATCAGCGCTTCGAGTTGATCGGGCGGCACGTTTAACGCGTTTGAAATGTCCGCTTTCGCCCACACCATTCGACTCGAATAGTCGGGAATAGTGTCGGACTCTTCAACCTACGAATTTCCACGGTAAAAATAAAAACCTCTTTTCACAAGGTCGGAAATGTAAGTACGATGAATGATATACTAGTATTCTGAAGGATATCAAATAGACACGGAATAATGCCATTCCATATTGGACAGGTATGAATCATCACACATAATGCTCGATTCGATTTACACTGTTAGATCACATATAATATAATTTTTAGTTCACACTGATAGATTTCTCACACAACGATGATGTTGAACAGTGCATTTGAATGGTGGGTCAGAGAAATGCATTGAGAATCACATGCCAAGTAGATAACAATATAATATTTAAAGAATAGTTCAATATAATATATATTATAGAATAATTGTAGATCGAACCTGGAATGTCAAAAACTCCCACTGCCCGGCCAACAGTCCAGCTTGTGCTCGCTTAAACATGAGGAACCGCCGGGAGTCAACTGTTTCGCCTACTATGTGTAGATGTATATTCCATCAAATCATATACTGTGATTTACGCTCACTTCCATCAGATATATATAATATATATATTTATTTGTATACCCCATAAACACAACTCTGTGCCGACTTACCAGGTTGGTGGTACACGACTGCGACGTTGACGACTTCATCTCGAGGGGCTTTTTTCCGGGTTTTCAGCGGAAATCTAGTAACAGCCCCCCCCACAACACCCCATTCGTCCAGCCTGGTGAGGTCGCAGATGGAGCAATCTGCCACCGTCGATTGTTTGGATGAATCCTATCCTTTATTATTACAAATATATATATATATAATCATAAACTAGACAGTGTTGGAAGAATACCTCGTTTTTGGTTTGGGCCAACGCGTGGCAAAAGTCTCGGACAGGGCACGACGCACAGGACGGCGTCTGCAACGGTCCCAACAGGTTTCATTTATTAATAGGTTTCATTTATTCAATGTCATTTCATTTATATCAGATTTGTTCAATAGGTTTCATTTATGTCATTTCATTTATATCCGATGTGTCGAATAGGTTTCATTGATGTCATTTCAGATTTGTTCGTCACCTGAATGGAACACACGGTAGCGCCAAGTTCCATGAGCGCTTGGTTAAAGTCCCCCGGGCGTGCCGCGTCGATCAGTTTAGTGCCACTTTCCCTACCATATTTGGACCAATTCAAGGTAAACCCGGGTGTATTACATATACACCAGGCCAAAGTTCCCACCAGCAATGTTTGGTGAGGGGTTTGTGGTTGGGATCACCAGAAATCGCACGTAGCCTCGAGACTACCCGAATGACATTGCCGTCTACCAGGGGTTCGACTTGTCCAAACGCAACCGACGCTATCGCTCCTGCTCATCACACACAGAGTTAAACTAGATGCAGCTACCAATGTATGCATGCTACTAGACGACCTGCAGTGTATGGCCCGATCCCTGGAATCGTCTTGAGCGAGTCCACATCACGTGGCATGTCGCCGTTAAACTTTTCCATGACAAACTGCGCTCCTTGGTGGAGCATGCGGGCGCGGCGGTAGTACCTGCATGGAGGATCGATGTCAAGGTTGAGGCCATGTTCATGGAGTACGCACCCCAAGCCTGCCCACACGGCATTGACTTGGTCGGGATCGGCGTTGGCGAGGCTCTGGATCGTTGGGAAAGTGTCCATCCATTTCGTGTAGTACGTCACGACGGTGTCCACCCGCGTTTGCTGGCACATGATTTCGGACACCCACGTGGCGTATGGTGTCACGACGTTCGGGGCATTGTAGCCGGCATCGCGCTCATGGACCCGCACAAGGTACGGCAGCGAGTCCCCTCGCCATGGAAGACACCGGCGATTGGCGTCGTACCACTTCAACAACGCCGCGGAGATGCCGGCAACTTCGGTGGCCTTCCATGCATGGTCGTGCTTCATGCGGTCGATGATCCGGATAATGAATGTCCAATCGTTGCATACAACTACGGAAAATGCATGGTTTGATTGGGCATTATAATTTCTCGAAATTGATTGGCTGTTGCATGTGTGGGGTTGTAGCGCTGACCTTCCAATGTGGGATCTTATAGCTAATAATAAATGCAAAATTGCTGGTGCCATCCCAAATTCGAAGCGTTCGCGTACGATGGGCAGTAGTACCTTTGACTACATACAACACTCGACACCGAGGTAACCGTATTTTGTTAATTTATATGGTGCCAACAGCAGCGCCTACGGCATGTATTGCAAGAGTTCGTCGCGCTGCGTATCTTGAAAATACTACTAAGTTAGTTACTCGGAGTACTACGTAGTACAGATATTCCTGGACTACAGAGTAGTACTGGTACTTACTATATACTGTAGTACATGTATTGGCCAAAAAAATGAAACAAGTTCAGTGAAAACCGTCAGTGGCATGGCATGTAGTTGCATCCAAAGCGTGAAATAAACACGCCATATCATCTCATTGGCTCCGACGGAGCAATTACAGTGTACATACCTCGTCTGCAGGATTCCATCGAATCCCATGCATGTGGGATACTGCGTGGCACGCCATTGATGGAACAAGCCCCACCATAGCTCATTAGCTGTACCCATTTTCCTGGTATTTCCTTTAAAACGTCCTGCTGGTGTTCATCGCCGAGTGACACGGTATGGTGCACACATTCAATGGCTAGGATAATTTCGATGCGGGTGTGTTGCTAACGTAATATTTACACATTGTAACATGGAAATATCAGATTCCCCGTCAATGGTTGGTATTGCATTCAAGCGTGGCGTATTAAGGAAAACGAACCTGCAGTGGACCCTGCTGAGTCCTGCACCCCCCCCCTTCCCTTCTGCTTAAAGCCGCAACCCAACTGACGCACAAAAAGGCAGCAGCGAAAGGCGCCACGTTTGTTGAGTTACTAAAGTTCACTAACATAACTCGGTCGTTTTAACAAATGTCTACATATGTTCGTGCTAATTCAAGGTAACTGTGCCACCAAAGACGCAAGAAACGGTAGGTGGTGATGTCCCATCCAAAGATCTTCTCAGTGTCATGGTTGGCCAAACCATGTACATATATCCCTTCAGTACATCGTACGGAAGTACATTGCACTGACAACCTAATCGGCCCATGCCGGTAGGTTCCATCCATACATACATATTCTCCCCAAACAACTTACATACATGAAGACACCGTACATTATTTCGTTTTAGTTGGACCACCGCTTAGTGCCACCCTTTGAGCGAGTACAAGTTGAAGGGGGGGTGGGGCTTGCGTACAAGGTGATCGACAGTGAAATCTCGAAGCCGCAATCACGCGCTACTCCCTCTATACAAGGGTGTAAACCAGCATTGTTCAAACTATTGCAACCCCCGCAGTGCTCAAAATGGATCAAACAAGTCTCGTCGACACCCCCAACCTTCGATTCCCGTTCCTGCTGCGCTGCCAATACGTGTACAAACCCTGCGGCAATCTGCGCACCCTCAAGAAGGACGGCAACGTCCACAAACTGTGCGCCTTCCATCGCAGTCGCGCCAACATTGTGCAAAAGAACTATGCGCTCAAGCGGCGACAGCGTTTGCGAGAGCAAGTCGCTGGTGGCGACAGCGCAACCAGCTACGCAGCCCCCAGGAAGTCACGTCGAACGCGACCCCCGTCTACACAGCCCATTCCGTTTCGAAGTGTGGACCAAGAGGTCTCCGTCGTCCCCACAGATGTATTGGTGCTCACAATGCTCTTCTCGGACGAGGCCATGCCCCCTTTCAGTCCGATACCGGACAGTAAAGTGTCCTCCGAAGATGTTAACGAATTGCGCTACTTGCTGCAATAAACAAGGAAGGGCTTTGACTTGGGCAGTGCTAGTACCACGTCAGTATCGGGCTCAAACAATGCATAGAGTAAAAAAAATTATGAATAAAACTACGATTGTCATGGTACAGCTTGTACTGTTTGCACGCATTTGAACTGGCGACTTGCAAATGGCCAACCTGTGTTGGGGGGAGGGGGTTCAGGATACAGTATAGGGTACCGGGCTAAAACCAAAACTACAGAAATACGTACTCTGTATTACAATGCACAACTAATACTCTGTATTACAATGCACAACTAATACCATACAACTTGTGCTAAGGTTACAACAACTACTAGCAATTACTTATTGGAAATCCTTTTATGCCAATAGTAATTGACACAGGGCAAAGCATTCTTCGCTTGACCATTCCGTACTTGTTGTTTGCACTGGCTCCATACCATCATCCAAAAACAGTTTTCCGAGCACAAACATATCCATGGGGTCCATAGGAGTGGATTGCTTGTCGTTGGACAACGGAAGGGGCTTGAGCGCGGCAACGTTGGACGTGGTGCCCGAGCAGTGCTTTTGCTCCCGCAGTCTTTGGCGGCGCTTGGAAGCGTAAATCTTTTGCACGCCATTGGCCCAGTCACGATGGTAGACGCACAGCTTGTGGATGTCGCCGTCGTTTTTCCGTGTTCGGGGGTTGTGGCAAGTCTTGTAGGCATATTGGCAGAACTGAATGGTGGCACGCATGGTGGATTTCGACATGTGCGGTGTGCTCATCTAAACAAATAATGCGAAGCGAGCACGATACTGTATGGTTCTCACACTCTTGAGTTGTCTGACATGAATTTTTATGGGTGGAAAATTCAGTGGATATTTGGCGGAAATACGATGGCAAAACTGTACAAATATGCTTCATTTTGTATTCAATAAAAACTAGACAGTATATATTACGTTACCGTATGTCTACTGTACGTAGTCATATATTCATCCAAACAGGGCTCCTCTTGTTGGCACAAAACCGATAGAATATTATTGTCAACTACTAGTACTTACTTATTATTATAATAGTAGTAGTAACGCTATCCTCATTTCTAGCTCTCATGTTCGCTTCTCACGCCCTCGCTCGATGTTGCCAGCTTGTTGAGGGTAGCACCCAAATGACATAACCTTTCATATGGCCTTGCTTGACCTTTCAAATGTCCGGGATGCTTAATCAACCACTCTACTAGGGCCAGGTACCGCTAAATGAGGTCCAAATCTCGGATAACCTAACGTTATACTAGTACGGAGTACGTAGTACGTAGTACCAGTGGTATATACTTAGAGTATACTAGTAACTAGCTAGCTACAGTATTCATTCGCATAGGCTTCAACGTTTACGTGCGACATTCTTGCTTATCTAGCCTGGCATCCCACGGGTATCTTGAGGGACCATCATGCGCCATTTTTCACTCAGACGAAGTGTCTTTCATCTGAATTTGGAGCAGGAGCGTATGCATGTAATGTACGAGTACGTGTATGAAATAATTAATTTGAATACAACGTATATATTGCATATTATTATATTCTAAAACTCTACGAGGGACGGAGGACGTACTATGTATATGTACGTACGTACGTTGGAGGACATACATTCCACACTGAATCCACGACAGCGCCAAATTTCCGTCTTCCACCGCACAATGTATTTGCGATGAAGGGTCACCCTTGTGGTTACTTCGGAAATCCTTGTGGTCTCCACACTCTCTCGAAGAGTATCACAGCCGACAAATGCTCAAGACCCCATTGGACCTCCAATGCCAGTACGCGTACAAGACGTGCACGAACCCACGGACACAGAAGAAGGACGGCGACATCCACAAACTGTGCGCCCTACATCGAGACAAAGCCAACTCGGTCCAGAAGATCTATGCGGCCAAGCGCCGCGCGCGTGTGCGGGAGCAGCGAAAACAGCAGGTGATGCAAAGCAAGGCGTTGTCGACACAGCCACTAGTGCAAGACCAAACATCACCCAAGCATGCCACCGCAACTCCATGCATTCACACATCATTGGGCTCATTCGACGTGTTCATGGCCGAGCCAGCCATCGAGCCGATACAGTCGCCGTCCGACCGCCGTTCGTTTTCGATCGAAGAATACGAATTCCTTCGCCATGTGCTCCTGTCCAACCATAAAAACTAACTTAAAATATATTTATACCCTCTCACCAGGCCAACAACACATCGAGTTCCGCACGTGAATGGTATGGCGTACAATAGAAATACCGCTTGTGAATACATCGATTTGTGTGGACTGTGCACCTTGGAGATAGTAGGCCGGCGGCTCAGAGAGTAACACGTTTGTAAATACTGTATGCTATTGTACAATTCGCATTCACATGATGTTCGTAGCAGCTATCGGTATCGTTTGGCTATTGCAACGCTCAAGAATCTGCATGGTGGTTCGTTATTGAATACTACCGGTAGTAATTACTACTTCATAGGAGTAGTAGCAATCATTAAGTTGTTCGATGGCTGGTGTCGCCCCCACGAAGCTCGTAAGGGCTCATTTATGCCCAAAACCTTAGGCCCTGTTCGGGCAACTTCACTGAATGATCACTGAACGTTTCAACACTGAACAACTTTATTCTGATTGGCTAACTTATCCGAAATCCGGATGCGTTCCGTGTCGGAAGTGTTCAGTGGTGGCACTTACTCCGAATTCCGTGTTGGGATCACCCCTCCCACCACTGGATGCAATTGATTGGAAATTATATTTTCATACATATTTCAAGTGATATTATTCGAAAGTATCATTATGTAAATTGCATGGTTTGGCGGAGTCCACATGAGCGGCGAAGAATCGGCCGTCGGCTCATGCAGGTAGAGGTGGCTAGAGACCCTCCGCGAATGCGCTTTTTGGCGGAATAGTAAGATATGTACGTA